AGACAACCTCTCGTCAATATGCGTTTTTCGCATTGCATTGCTGCAAAAAACGCATAAAAACGGATTATCGAGTGATACTTAAGCAATGCTGTAAAAACAAAGGAAAAACAAAAAAGTGGCGAAAGTCCCACTAGAACACCTTATAAAACTGCGCGAATTAAAGACGCTCAAAATACGGAACAGCAGGAGCGTTGCCAGTCCACACAGCGGGGAGACGAATCGTTTTTTCATATCAGAGCGGTACGCTGGAGGAAAATTACCTCTTAGTTACAAGAACACATATAGCAAATTATCATCAGGACGAATCTGGAATTTCTTAGCCAGTGTTCATTACTGTGAAAAGAATGGACTATTCTTCTCTCTTCCCCTCTTCTTTCTGCTTCTTCCTCTTGTCTTCTTCCTGCCTTTCGCTTCTTCTTTAAGCGCTACAAACGTCATACTGACGAGGTCCTGTTGCACTGCTGAGTTAAGGCTTTTATAACTTAATGGACCGGAACGTCTTATCTCATTCTTATCTCCTTATCTCATTTCTTATCTCGTTTTTCCATTGCTATTTTTCGCATTTCTATCAATCAAGCGCTAGGGCCAGCCTGGTTGCTGCAGTCTACTTATTGCTTGCTTTGCCCACAGCTAGTGGATCAGTGAATGGCATTGGCGACAAGGGAAAGGACCAGCTGGGCAGATTCTAAAGAAGTAGCTTACTTGCACAGTACAACATGATGCTATCTTGCTTGAGTTGTACAGTTCAAACCAGCTGCAGCTAAAACAGACGCCTGGGTGGATGCACCCCAGCTACACCTTTAACATTGGGCTTTCACAAATTGTGTTAGTAATCTTGGCTTTATTTAGCAATTTTATCATGGCTGTTATTTCTGACACTTCGTCTGAAATGTGAAAATTATTGCCCGAAGCGGCTATTATTGTGACTTTTTTCAAAACGCCTTTAGGGAATAGCAAATGGCCAATTTATAACAACAGTGCAAAAATTTGTTTTTTCCTAGCTATTCGAAAAAAAAAGCCAAGCAGTAGCAGCACAGTGTAATTTATTTCATTTTTTTTTTCTACTGCTAATTCTCGCAAACGTCCGCGAAAAAATCCGAGTAAAATTTAGCTTGAAAAATATATGCGGCTAGAAATGCAAAGCTGACCAGCAGCAGCGCTCAGTGTATGATTGATTGGACTTTGGATTCGAAATACGAAGACGTTTGCACGATTTTAGGGCCAATTAATAAACAAATCGCAGGTTTTGCCAGAGGAAGCATTCCTCTGCTCTCTGCAACCAACTTGCTTATGCGATTCAAGAACCACGGCCTAGACAATTGCCAGGTAACAACAAAACAAACTACTTTGCTTCTTGCTCTGACCAAATCACTTATCGCCATACGTAATTCAAAACGGTCTCATCCTTCTGTTAAGAAACTGTGCCTAGCCTTGCTATCCTTGTTTGGTGCCACGTAGTGGAAATCTAAATTTTTATCGTTTATAGGAACAGTTTTTTTGTAGTGTACTTTTGCATTTGTTGTATTTCGTATTTGCAAAAACGAAAATCATTTTCAAATGTCTTTTATTTTTTTTTTATTGTTGTTTTGCTGCAATTAAGCCCCGGTTTTCTGGATCATGCGAAAACAAGGGCGTAATAAAACAGAGTGCTTAGCGCATACAAATGCTGCAATTCATTTCCGCATTATCAATAATATTCTCATTCATCTTAGTACCCCTACTTAGATGAGAAGATTGTTGACCACAAGAAAGAGAGATTTGTTTGCAATAAAGGCATTTTAAGAAACTCAAATTTAAAGTTTTAGCCTTCTGTAGCCTTCGGTGGGAAAAACTGACCTCGAATCGGAATCCAAACTTTGCGAGTTCCAATAAATAATTTGCACTTGTACTATACGATGAAGTGTTAATTTGAAAAATGCAGTAAATAAGTATACTTGTAAATGAAATCCTTTTTTTGCGAAGGTGATTTAGGTGCACGGTGTCGAATTTCCCGCCTAAAAACGCTTTGAAAATAAAAAAAAATTTGAGATTTCTGCTTAAGAGGATCATGTATGCATTCAATTCATCAAACCAAAAAGCTGCTTGTGTCATTTTTGTTAGAGGCAGTGATGTATCAGCGTGAAAAGTAATTAAGCTAGACATGCGCCGTAATGAGAACAGCAGCAAAGTGGAGACTGCCTGTAGAATCTCACATGCCGTTGTCGAAAAATTTTTTAACTTATTTGGATGACTACTGCGCAGGATATTGTTTTGAGTGTGCCGAAAGCAAAATTTGTTCTGAATCCTAGTACACTGCATGCTTTGTAGAGAATTGACGGATAATATACGTTTTTCATTGAATGGACACGTTTTTCATTGAACTCATGAGACAAGTAACCACCACCTGTTAACTTTTTATTGCGAGCTTAGGCCTCAAGTAATTCCGCTGCACTATAGTATACACACATGCCCATTGTGATACAGGCAATGGTCCCCCTCCTGACACTTTTACACTTTTATGTTACAACTTTTCAACTTTTTAATCTTTTTAAACTTTTCTAAACTTAGTATAATTCAAAAAATCTTCCCTTTCCATCTTCTCTTCTTCTTCTTTCTTCCTGCGTCCCCTTCCCCTTTTTTCTTCTCGTCTTTGAACACCGCGACCGTTATATTGAGGAGATCCAGTCGCGGTGTTGAGCTAAGACTTATATGACTCGATGGACAGAAACGCCTTAACGCTTTCGTGCTATTTTTCCCATACCAGCTTTATTCCTATATCAAAAAATACGTAGTTCGTTCATTTCTTGCCCTATTTAAATTTTTAATATTACTTATGTACTACAATCATATTACAATCAGCTTACCTTAATATTTGATTCAGTTACGTTGCATCGGTTAATTTCAAATTTACTGGAATTAATGAAATACAGCCCGATGAGTTCCCTTCATACCAGAAGCGAACTGTGAAATTTTTTTACGCTTCAGAACTGTTGCTCGCTCTAAACCGAGACTTGGGGACAGCAACGCACCTAAGGATGAACCTTAGCCTTTTGTTTTTCTTTAAATAACGTCGAAATGATCGAATTAGAAAAAGTGATCAGAGGTCGAATATTCATCCGAATGAATGCAAACCAGTAGGCCTTTTAATCTTATCTAAAGAATTCAGCAGCAATCAGAAAATGTTAGATTGCCTCAAAAAAAGCAATATCTGAATTCATCAGCGTGTTAAAAAATGCCATACTAAAGCAAACGAGGCATGAAGTAAAATGCTTTTGCAGACGGAGAGCTCCTATTTTTTCTATCTGTGACTTGGTCAGTGACTTTTTTGCTTGCGATTTTTTCAGAATAGGGAGTGGAAAAGGAAACGCACGAGTGGGCTCCCAATTTTTTTTTCCATTAAGACTGATTAATAGTACCTTAGAATTTCCAGTGGAAGAAATAATCCCATGTGCAGGCGCGGAAAATTTTGTTGGCCTCGGCTAGTGCTGTAGTCGGAGAATAGTCTTTCTTTGTGGCACACAATTTGGCCTGGAAGCTAAGTCATACCGAACAGACTTTTATACATCCCAGTTGTATAATTTTTGATTAAGAGATCTGAAAACTTTCATCCTGGAAAAGTCGGAGCAACAGTTGCCAAGTGACTGTTGCATCGAAAACCAGGAGCAATCAAAAATGTGCTACTTTTGGAGCAATGATTTGAGTTTTTTGGATCCCTTGAAAAAATGGATTATCACGCATGGCTTAGCCATGAATTTTTCTTACAGACTGATCTGAATTTTGCTTAGTATTCAAGCAACATTTCGTCGTAGCTTCTTGTTAGAAACAAGTATCAGAGTGTTTAAACGATGTTATTTTGCACAGCGATGAAAATGAATGATAAGATATCATCTGGAAGAGCCACCTGAAACGGCTTAATGCATTATATTAACATTCGGAGCGTTGCTGGATGATTGAATGGCTGAGCGGAATTCTGTATTCAACGCATCCTGAACGTACAATTTTTGATTTAGGAATTCGTGCAGCCTGAAAGGATCGGAGCAACAAAACTGTCGAAAACATGCGTTCCAGACAGATCCACTCCTAAGTAACTGTTTCTGGAAATATGCGCAATACTAGTGCGGCAGATGTTAATTCGAATGGGCAAGTGGATCTATTTCTGATATCAGTGGCTGCATTTCCGATAATCATGACGTTCGGTACCGTAACCGGCAACATCTTTGTACTCATCGCTGTTTCACTGAGCAATGGCCACCCCACCAAACTTCTTATTGCTAATTTAGCTGCTGCCGATCTTCTTGTTGGTATGGTTTTTCCACTGCTCTGTGCCTGTACGCATCTAGTAAAATTTGGAAGAAAGACGTCCTATCTCTTTATAGAGCACAAATTGAAATTCCGTTTTTGAATAAAAATTTCATAAAATTGTCAAGCAAAAAATTTTGCACTTCCTTTCAAGTCGTGGTAAATAATTATGTGCTGATTTTAAAGTCGAATTTTGCCCTTCAAATCGTTGTCTGTTGAACAGAATCCTCTAAATGTGCTCCTCACAAATACACAGCTGCGTACGTCAGAAGGCTGGGACAACAGCGCATTATTATGATCAACTCTTCAGAACTCGCAGTAAAACATTACGGCCGTTTTATCGGCTTGACGCATGTCAACACCTCAATCTTTCTTCTTTAGATGAACAGCTACCAAATTTTCGCTCTGGAATTCACAATTGAATTCGATTTTGAAACTGCGATTCAGAATACGGAGGCCTCACAACCGGAGTCTGTTGTCGAGCTTCATCGCAAAAAAA